TTGCAGTGTTTCAAGTTCTCATCTGATATGAAAAACAAGAATGAACAGTTTGTAGATTCAAATGCAAATAGGTTCATTCTTTACTCTTCTGTCACAAACAGACCACAGCATGGTGTAATACTTGTGAATTTGACTTGTTAAGTTCTCGAGCAACTCATATGTAGTCCACTGCTAAGTACATTGTTTCACTTCTTTGATCAGTTCCTGGAAGAAGCAAGAAATCATGCTAGCAATATCCTCTCACTGCCACAATCCGACTCGCTCGAGAAGGTGAGAATGAAAGATTCAAAGAAGAAGAAGAAGACATGGCCAAGATCTGTATCCTTCTGGTTTAAGTTTGGAAAAAGTGCAGGAGAAGAAGCAACATCCAAAACCAATAATACGCTGAAGGACTCCTCCTCCTCCAATCCTTTGGATGCAGATCACAGACCATTGTCGGGTCGGCTATTTGGAAATGGAAGTAAATTTTCTCAGCTTCATCGAAGAATTCGACAATCTACTTCAGGACCTCTTGCTTGTTGCTTCACTCCTACAAGAGCAGAAGAGACTGAGGTGCCTTACAGATGCTTGGACCACCAAAACCATCCTTTGAGAGCTCAGGCTTTTGGTCCGATTTACCTGGTAACATGAGCCATGGATCTTGAATGGTGTTACTGATAGATTAAACCTTTACCACGGAGAATTTTGCCACCATTTTGATTCAGTTTGCTTGTTTGATAATTGCTGCGCTAGAATCATTTTTATCTCAAGATGAATCTGACACAAATACCGACTAATGGTTATGAATTATGGAATGTGCTTCCACTGGGCTTCTTGCAAACATGTTTATGAGATGCTAGAATTGTTGAGACCACCAAACATGCTGTCGAATGAATGCCACTGACTCAATAGGACAGATACATTGAATGGATGTTCATCAAATTGAAGAAAGTGTATCATGTGCACATCAACTGCACCATTAAAATGAATCCCTGCCTGCTCAGCGTGAATACCTCCCCTCCCTCCTTCAAGAATAATAGCATGGACGGATGGTAAGGGTTACAACAGACAACCGTTTCGTTGATAATTTAATTTAGGAGATTGGATTTGAATGCATACTTACAATTGAAGTGAGAAAAATGGTAGAGATAGATTCTCAGCAGTGTGCAAAACCTGCACGAGCAATGTGCCAGTGACATTGTGCAAAACCCAATGTCGCACAACCCCTTATCCTAAAGAGAGAGAGAGAGAGAAAAAACCCTAGAGTAGTAATTCAATAATTTGTCGCACCTTAAAGAATGTTTTCGCATGTTGTGCGCCACCCAAGACTTGGAGCACGCACGTACAAGGTCATGGGAAACAGGAACTGATTATGGAACATCACAGTGGAGACGAGAAGTGAACAGGGGGAGACGAGCCTCCTCGAGCGAATAACACAGGGCATGCGGATCGAACGAATTAATAACTTTGCTAGTTGTAGACCATGTACTTGGGCGTCGCACTGAACTTCTGGTAACCCTTAATAACTTTGTTCACTGCATCGAGAAAGTCTTTCTCCGTGACCGTCTTCCTTCTTGCTCTGATGGCAAACATGCCAGCTTCAGTGCAAACGCTCCTTATATCCGCCCCTGCCACAGGTAACAACCATCTGTAGGAAAAGCATTTGATGGTGCAACACAGTTAATTAAAGCCTCACCAGTGGAATTGGGGCACAAGCGAGCAAGGAGTTCAAACCGAATCTCCCTCTCGCAGTTCATGGTCCTCGTGTGGATCTTGAATATCTGCGTTCGGCCCTCCAGATCTGGTAGACCAAACTCCACCTTCCGATCCAATCGTCCAGGACGCAACAGTGCAGGGTCTAATGTATCAGGCCTAACAGACACACAATTAACAAAAAAATTGTTTTTGTTTTTTTTATTTTTGTTTTCCGAAAGCATAAAGACAAAACAATCAAACCAATTGCTGAAGCATTAATCAATCCAGAATATGCTGCAAAGAGTTAGAGTTTATAGACCAAAAAGGATGGAGGCGAGGACATTTTAAATTTAAGACATTACAACAACAATACCAATGCTAAAGAAAAAATGTACAAGTGAAGCACTGAATGAAAAAAAAATCTCACGATTAAATGATCCAAAAATCATAGTATATTCATCTGAAGTGTCAATCATAGTACAAATGCAGGGTACTGACGCAAAGTAGCATACAACAGTAGCAAGCAGCAATGTCCCAAACATGATCCATGCAAATTTGCATTATTATAACATGAACAAATGCAGGGTACTCACGCAAAGTAGCATATAATAGCAGCAAGCAGTAATGTCCCAAATAGGATCCATGCAAAGTAGCATAATGTCCTATTTACCATTTCAAAGTTGCAAATATCAATTGTGGCCCTTCAGATGTTATTAAACTATTGCATATGTAAAGCTAAAAAAAAATGCAGTTGCAGTTCACTGATGTGTTAGTGCTGATGTGCCACCAAAGTTGTATCCACACCGATGATGATGCATCAAAGTTTTAGCCTCAATCATCCAAGTGGACACCATATCATCTTTATGTGGATGATATATCGATACCACATCAACACGATGTTGGTGACACATGAAAGACATCAGAACCACTAAAGTAATGACCATAAACGTGAGTCCATGCTTCATTGTTTACGAGTGATCAGCTTTTACCATGTGTACATGCTTCCTAAACACCACCAAGTTTAAACCAGGTCAATTACTAGAACCAAGAAATGGAGGCTGACAACAAAAATAATGAGGCTTTTCACGAACTGACTGGAATTTGCTACTTCAAAGAATCATGACATATTGTATCTTTGATAGGAACAACAGAAAGTGCCCTATGTTAATCTGGTATGCATACTGCAAACTTAAGCTGTGGCAAAGACCATATTTCCGAGTAATATAAACAAGCAAATTCATATTTAATAACACACCTGTTGGTAGCCATTAGAACTTTAATATTTCCTCTAGCATCAAATCCATCAAGCTGATTGACAATTTCAAGCATGGTACGCTGAACTTCATTGTCGCCACCAACCCCATCATCAAACCGAGCACCACCAATTGCATCAACTTCATCAAAGAAGACAATGCAGGCTTTTTTTGACCGTGCCATCTATACCAAGAAGATAAGTTAATAAATAGGCCTATGGAAAACCAAGAAGTAGAGGCCAAACTAGTAAAAATCATAAGAACACAACAGTTTCACTCAGATGCTTGACAACCTGAAAAAGCTCGCGAACCATCCGAGCCCCTTCTCCAACATACTTTTGGACAAGCTCACTTCCGATGACACGAATAAAGCAAGCATCTGTTCTGTTAGCTACTGCTCTAGCTAGTAATGTTTTGCCAGTTCCTGGGGGCCCGTAACAGAGAACACCTTTTGGAGGATCAATACCTAGTTTGACAAACTTCTCTGGATGAAGCAT